AATTGGTTTCTTACAGTAGTATATCAACTAATCTTGCACTTTTCTCTGTTCCAGGATTGTCAGGGCCTTCTTGGTTGAAGAACAGAAGATTGTGAAGAAGGTTTTGAAGCTTCAAAAGGCAAAGGAGAAGACTGCACCAAAGAGTTAGAAGAAAACGTTTGAGTGATGGAGAATTACTTATTTTCTAGGGATCGGTAGACATGAGTTTTTTTTGTTCACCAAAAAAGCAAATGTTTGTTTTTGTCTCTTTGATAATATCTTGAGTTCAGTTTTGTTCTCAATCAGATTTTACTTTCTACAAGTTTCTCCGTTTGTGTTCATTAGTCGATTGATATAATTCCTCCCGGTATATGTTTACAAGATTTATAATTAAGTTAAATTATTCATCAATTGTCCATACGTAAGAGCAAACTACAATTGATTAGCCTATTCGTTATCGGTTTAATGAAAACCGGCATGGTTTCATGATATATATTCGTCCTTTTTGAAGAAAGCCTAAGGTTTCGATTGGTAACCATTTTTGAGGAATAGAACAAGAAAGAATGTATTGTTCCTATTTGTTCCTTAACTTTTTTTACCATTTACAAAGAATTTTTGTTCCATTTTCAGATATGTGGGTCCCTCATTTTTCCTTTCCATTCCTCAAAAAAAAGAATGATAGAACAAAATTGTTCCTCCCCAAAATTGTAGAGGAACAAAGAGGAACAAACAATTAAATTCGTTTTTTATTTTTAAATAGCTTTTATGATTATATTTATACTTTTATATAGAAATACGTTTCATATATTTATTATATATTTACATATTAAAATTTTTTATCAAAAATTTCAATTTTAAATGAGTGTTATGACTTTATTTTAAATTAGTATTGATACTTAAATGAATAAAACTACTTTCAAGTGAAATTTATATTATTTTCAATAAGTATTTGAATTTATATTATACTTTTATTTTAATTTTATATAAAATTTTAACTAAATTTAATAATTAATTTTTAGTCAATTTTTATGTTAAATAACTTTTGAATAAAAATTTTGGGTTACCATTCATTATAACCATTTATTCTTTTCTTATGTTCTTTTTTGTTGCTCATTTTGGTCATTTTCTTTTTCTTTTTGTTCCTTTTTATTCATTCATTTTTCTATTTCTATTGTTTTTTTTATGGCCACCAATCAGAGCCTAAAATTGACGGCAAAGGATGACGGAAAGTTTCCACGATTTTTTTATAACACGTTTCATCTACGTATCTGTGTGTTTGACACGTGTATTGAGCAAGATTTTATCCTTCTTTAAAGTGATGTATGTAATCATTTGGGCCTTTAATGGGTTGTATCTTTTGTGATGTGGATTATAATAAACAAAATCTTCAGTGAAAAAAATAAAATAAAGAAGCCCAATTTATTATTATTATTATTAAATTGGGTTTGTTGATATAGCTGTTGGGGCTATAGCAGGCCCAATCTCTGTCATCGAAGCGTTTTCAGGTGTTAAGTTTTTGCGTCCAGACACAACACCGGGCCTGCTTCAGTGGGCTGAGAAATTCAGGGCCCATGAAGCTGTGAAACCTTACATGCCTACCGTTGCCGAGTTTATCGAGTTTGCCAAAAAGAAATTCAATGTTTAGTGATTTACATTTATGATTTTCTTAAAAAGAAATCTTATATGTGTGCTGATAAATGCGTGGAAATCTGATTTATGTTTTTTTGGTTTCTTAAATTGATGTCTGTGAGAGTTCGTAATTGCGAGAAACGTAATAAATCGAGACCAATATATCTACTAGACCAATTGAACATTCTCTGGTGTTAGTATCTACTAGGCTAGATTATGTAAATTGCAAGATAAAAACCGACCAAAAACAGTATTGCGATTCGAAGACGAAAGTTGAATATCATATATAATCCAACAGAATTCAATAAAATTATTGGATTGTTTGTTTATCATTCAATGAATTTGTAATACTGTTTATGCTCACCCATCATGAAATTGCTCCAACTCGAGCACCCTTAACTATGCACCCTTAACTATGAAGTTTTCTCAGGACAGTTGAACGAAAAGATAAGTGCACTTTGGTGACATAGGTGGCCAAATCAATTCTTTTAAACCTCTCCGCATACACCACCATATTTCTGAAACCGGAGTGTTACAATTTACCCCCACTAACAGATCGCAACGTCCTCGTTGTGGACCAAGACCGTCACCCCCGATGGTGTGAGCCCTCTTGACTTCACACTTGCCTGGGTTCGTCTCTGATACCACTTGTAACGCCCCGACCGCCACACCTCTCTTGATGAGTCCTCTCTCGACACATGGACCCACGACAGTCGGTCCGCTACGTCCGGGAGGCTTTAAATACTTGTTTACCGACCCTACAAATCACCACATGATCTTTCCCTGTGTTTTGTCCTCACTCACACAGTTCCGACAATCGCTTTCCGGAAGGTCACCCATCCTGAAACTACTCCAGCCCAAGCACACTTAACTGTGGAGTTCTTTCAGGACGTTTGACCGAAAAGATAAGTGCACTTTGGTGACATAGGTGGCCAAATCAAATCTTTTAAACATCTCCGCATGCACCGCCATAATCCTGAAACTGGGGTGTTACATATATTTTGAAGTAATTTATGAGTCCGGGTAATAGGATTAATTGGTATGCTTTGTTTTGGAAATTTGGAAGTAGTTTAGTTTGTTTGGTTTTGAAGACATTTCGCCAAATAGAAATCATATTGAAGTCTTCGATTTAAAAGTACAAAATTCGGTTCGGTTTGTTTTAAATACAAAAATTCAGTTTGAGACATTTTGTTCTTATTAGGATTCTATAAAGAAGTATTTTCATCGTTTCATAATTTTATTAGCCAAATAATTAGGCCAACTATAAATGTAAGACATAAATGAGAAATGCAAAAAAAAAATTCAAACCACACATCTTAAGTCGTTTAACATATGTGCCTGCGGTCAAAACGAGCTATCCGACATGGCTGTAAAGAGAATTGGACAGTAAAACTTGGTAGAATTGGTGAAAAAGACAGCAAAAAGGATAATTGATTTTGTATGAGAGGAGAGAAAAGAGAAACAAACGGATCGATGATTTTTCGTGAGATGAAAAAAAGGAAACGACTTAGACCTAGTTTTTTTTATCTTTAGATGAACAACTTCGTTAAACCAATCAGTCTGAATTCGAGTTCTGGGTTTTAATGGAACCAACATCTGAATTTGTTTTATTCTTCTACTTAACAGTTTATGTGTGTAAACTAAAACAAAACAACATTTACCAAATATCAGTTTGGTCAATTTGGTTCGAATTTCGGCTCAAACCTAGCAAAAATTCTAAAAGAAAAATTAATTTCTCATCGCCTATGCTAAGTAAGTCAATTTATTTTACACTAATAAGTTTCACAAATATCATGTTGTATGCATAACTTTCAGCCTGTTATCTATGTTCCACACGGTAAAGCAAAACTATAAAAGAATATTAAATAAGATAATTTTATTATAACTTTTACAAAAAAATTACGAAGTCTTATTGAATGTCACTAATACTGCAACGACATATAAATCTTGTACAACTACGAATATACTTATCCCTTCTAAAATAAGCTTTTCCGCAGTCATAACAAAAACCCATTACGCCTTGACGAAGAGATTGTCCAAGATGTATATCCACTAGATGAAGAGGGGATGTTGGTTGGTGTCACGGTTGCAAGTAAAAGTAAATGAAAGCAATAAGAAAGCAAAGTAAAAAGCGAGTAAAGAAAGCAAGTAATCAATAAGAGACAAACGTTGGGTATCAAGGGTATCGCATGGGGTTCAATAAAAGAAAGCTAGGACTTAGGACCCCGCGATATCGCGGGGGAAAAGATTTCAAATTTTTTAAAAGAAAATAATATCAAACGAAATGTCATAATGAATTGAGATAATAAGTTTTAAAACAAATTTTTTAATACTATGTAAAGATATATTTTACAACAAAATATGATAAAAAGACGTAAACCCTCAAAAATATTTTTTAAGATTTGTATTATTATTAGAAAATATGCGATAATTGTATTATGTTAAAAAGAGATAATCTTCGGAAAAATTTAACAAATAACCAAAATAGATAGTTATTTAGGAAAAAATAATAATAATATAAATAACAAAGTATATACGTGAATGCTAAATAGCAAAAAAATGAAACTTTCTATAAAAATTATAAAACAAAAAGTAATAATAAATTTACAACACTTAAATATATATATATATATATATATATATATATATATATATATATATATATATATATATATATAGTGAAAAAGACATGAAAGTTTAAATAGAAAAAATTGTATATAAAAGAAACAATTATTGGAACCAAGTGTTTGTGATGAAAAACACGAATAAAACATGGTGACAAGATAATACTCTAAATGAAGAGATATAAATTTAGTTAATTACAATTGTTCGTTAAATAAAGTAAATGTTGCAATGGTTCAACTAAACAATCGCAATTGTTTATGAGGTGTTAAGATAAAAAGATACAAACGTAGAAAATATATATTCAGATTATAACTTTATTAAAACAAAAAACCGTAAAATAAATATTTTAGTTAAAAAATAAAAATTTAAATCTATATAATATGAGACGTAACTTTAAATAAATAAATGCAACTATGAAGACAAAACCGTAAATTGAAAAGATACGACTGTAATTGAACAAATATAATGTAAAAAAACCGTAAATATGTTACCCAAGAGATGCGATAAAAAGACACAACCATAAAAAAAATAACCGTAAATATTTCAACGAAAAATGCGATAAAAAGACACAACCGAAAAATTAACCGTAAATATTTAATCGAAAGGCTACGATAAAAAGACGCAACCGTTCAGAGGTGCAAAAGACATTTATTGAGATTGCTATTATATATAGATTATTATTATTATTTTTAAGGCCCAATTTTTTTATTATTATTACTACTATTTTTGCCCTATAAAACTTGTAAATTGTTGACGTTTTTTATTTCGAAGCCCAAAAGTCTCGAAAGCTCTAGCCGGCAAGGAAACGATGGCGACAACCACCGATCGTGTCTCTCTTACGTTTTTCCCTCCGAGGTTTTCTTCTCCTCTTATCATTCTCTCTTCTTCATTTCCGATTTCGATGTATCGCTATTTTTGTTAAATCATCGTCTTCTTTTAGTTATTGTATATGAAAAGAATTGTAGCATGGTTCAACTTCAATATAATGTTTTTGTACACTCAAGTTGATATCAACATATTAAGGCCTTGAATGGTTCAATGGTATGCTCCATACTAAGACATGCATGCCAACATTTTAGTATGGAGACATACATACTTTAGTATGCACTAAACAACGGTATGCACTAAAGCATACAATAGTATGCACTAAAGCATACAATAGTATGCACTAGAATTTATCACTTGAATGGTTAAAAGTGTACCATAGTATGAAAAAGTGTGTACAAAAACCAAAACAAATTTTAACAATTTTCTAATAATAATTAATAACATGTCTTTTTAATAAATACTACAAAATGTTTTTTAAAATTATAAATCAAAATCTATTATTTTGATTTTCCCATAACATATCGGCAATACTTTCCCGAATATTTGCCATATATATTGTCTATATTGTCTCTCGACAATAATGGTTGATTCAAAGCTAAAAAAAATCACTTTCTAAGATCTAAGAGAGTTCTCTCTTCTCTCTCTTTTTTTTTTTTTGGGAATAAATGATTGTTTTTGTGAATTTATACAATTGTCAATGATCATATATATAAATATTTTTGATAAGTACAAAGAAACACAAGTTTAACAAATGAGATGAAAGTAGTAGGATTCAACTAGTTAAAGAAGCACACTTTGGTCTCAATTTTACTATTGGTATGGAGTTGGTATGGAGCTTGTAAAGAGTAAACTGAAAAAATAATAGAATTGACACGGTATGGAGTTTTCTTTTAAGTGCACACTAGTATGGAGTTTCTTAGTCCGGAGTGTTGCATATTAATATGATTTGTTGAATGACAAATTTAGTACGAACTAGTCCGACTTTAGTCCGGTCTGCACCATACCTACCAACCATTCAAGGCCTAAGTTAAATCTTAAAAAGAATAAAAAAGTTTTTTTTTTTTTTTTCTCATCGGATTTTTCGATTAGCTATGTTAAATATGTTAAACCTTATAAACTAAAGCTTACAAGATCTCTCAATCTCTCAAGAACTCTCTTCTCAAAATTCAATGTTTGCCACAACTCAACAAACATATATAAAGGGTTTAGATAACTCCTAAACCGACTATGATTAGGTCTTTGATAACTCCTAAACCTAATTAAACTTTATCACAAAACTCTCATAACAAAACTGACATGTTTTGTTAACTTGGGCCTTAAGTTTCAACCAAGCTCAACCCAACATTCTCCTCTTTAAGCTTGAACTCAACCATCTTCAAGTCTTGAACACCAATGAAGTCTCGCATTTCCTTGAACTTAATCCGACCAAGCGTCTTCGTCAAGATATCTGCCTTATGCTCACCCCCTGGTACATGTTCCACTTCAGTCCTTACTGCAATCCGGCTCATGAGTCCCTCGGAGTTGATGGTGAACAGTTTGGATTTGCAGCTACTCTTATAAATGGACTTCATGACGATGATCAAACTGTAGTAGCTCTGAAGGTCTTAGCAGGAAAACTCCTTGGGCACCATTGCGGCATCCCAAGATTGCCTCGGCACGTTTTACTCTAGGCCCCGTGGATGATTCCTCAGTTCAACCATGTGCTTGTGGGCGGGGAATCAGAACGACTCTTCCTGTGGATGACTGACCGTGATGTGCGTCCCAAACCCTGGAGAACCTACGACGAGTTGCCACACGCAGGCATTCTGTGGCGTCAGAGGTATCATTTCCAGCCAAGACCAACTCAAATCGGGCATTACAGGTTAACGGAGTTTTCGATAGAGGGCCACCAAGAATCTCTTTACTGGCTTCTGTTTAGACCCCTAAACCCTCTGATATTCAACAATGTGCTGCCACGATTCATTTCGCTGACTAAAGATAAAGGTCAAGAAAATCCTAAACCGGATGCTCTTGGAAAATCGAGGAAGAGACAGAGACAGGTTAGCTAATAAGTTACAAGGAGCATTGAAGTTTATTCACTCACTGACGGATCTCTTATTTTTTCAGCTTGATTCCGCTCCATCGGCTCACAGTGGAGCATCTGGTGGTGTCATAGCTCTTGAAAACCTGTTGCACTTGGCTAGGAATGATCCGGTAGGCCTTTACAAACAGTTCCAATCACTCTCCCCGGTTTAATTTTTCTATTCCAAGGACATTGTTCATGTTTCCTTTGACCTTTTGATTTTCCCATGATTTGATATTGATGCATTGGTTATTTTCCCGTGATCTGATATTAGTGCTTTAAGAAGGCATTGTATTGGTGGACTGATATTCTTGTTTTCCCGATATGTATACACTAGTGTAGAATGTTACATGATATGATGATTATCCACAATGAAACAGGATGGGAAGATTGGCAAGGTTGCTGGGGCCATCACCCTTATGAGCCGTGCGATTCCAAACACCAACAATTCTCACTCAGGGCTGGTCATCGTACCTCAGAAACAGTTGGCCCGCAAATCAGATATGTGAGTTCTTATTCTTTTACTGCGATAAGCCACTAGATTGCATATCTTGTATTGTCTTTCTGTGCTACCTAAGAGATCCATCTCAATAGCGTTTTGAGCTTGCTATAAGATTTTCCTTCATACATCTAGCTGGAAAGTGGAAGTAATATAGGCGATGAGAAAAGGATAATTGATTTTGTATGAGAGATGAGAAAAGAGAAACAAACGGATCGATGATTTTTTGTGAGATGAAAAAAAAAGGAAACGACTTAGACCTAGTTTTTTTTTAATCTTTATATGAACAACTTCGTTAAACCAATCAGTCTGAATTCGAGTTCTGGGTTTTAATGGAACCAACATCTAAATAATTTATTTTATTCTTCTACTTAACAGTTTATGTGTGTAAACTAAAACAAAACAACATTTACCAAATATCAGTTTGGTCAATTCGGTTCGAAATTTCGGCTCAAATATAGCAAAAATTCTAAAAGAAAAATTAATTTCTCATCGCCTATGCTAAGTAAGTCAATTTATTTTACACTAATAAGTTTCACAAATATCATGTTGTATGCATAACTTTCAGCCTGTTATCTATGTTCCACACGGTAAAGCAAAACTATAAAAGAATATTAAATAAGATAATTTTATTATAACTTTTACAAAAAAATTACGAAGTCTTATTGAATGTCACTAATACTGCAACGACATATAAATCTTGTACAACTACGAATATACTTATCCCTTCTAAAATAAGCTTTTCCGCAGTCATAACAAAAACCCATTACGCCTTGAGGAAGAGATTATCCAAGATGTATATCCACTAGATGAAGAGGGGTTGTTGGTTGGTGTCACGGTTGCAAGTAAAAGTAAATGAAAGCAATAAGAAAGCAAAGTAAAAAGCGAGTAAAGAAAGCAAGTAATCAATAAGAGACAAACGTTGGGTATCAAGGGTATCGCATGGGGTTCAATAAAAGAAAGCTAGGACTTAGGACCCCGCGATATCGCGGGGGAAAAGATTTCAAATTTTTTAAAAGAAAATAATATCAAACGAAATGTCATAATGAATTGAGATAATAAGTTTTAAAACAAATTTTTTAATACTATGTAAAGATATATTTTACAACAAAATATGATAAAAAGACGTAAACCCTCAAAAATATTTTTTAAGATTTGTATTATTATTAGAAAATATGCGATAATTGTATTATGTTAAAAAGAGATAATCTTCGGAAAAATTTAACAAATAACCAAAATAGATAGTTATTTAGGAAAAAATAATAATAATATAAATAACAAAGTATATACGTGAATGCTAAATAGCAAAAAAATGAAACTTTCTATAAAAATTATAAAACAAAAAGTAATAATAAATTTACAACACTTAAATATATATATATATATATATATATATATAGTGAAAAAGACATGAAAGTTTAAATAGAAAAAATTGTATATAAAAGAAACAATTATTGGAACCAAGTGTTTGTGATGAAAAACACGAATAAAACATGGTGACAAGATAATACTCTAAATGAAGAGATATAAATTTAGTTAATGCTTTGTTCAAAAAAAAAACGTTTAGTTAGTGCTCTCAAAAATATATTACAAAAGGCAATGTTGCAACGGTTCATCAGATATACAATAATTCATCAAATGAACTAAAGTTGCAATAGTTCATCAAATATATTAAATATTGGAATGGTTCATCAAATAAACCAAAGGTTACAACGGTTCATCAGACTAGAAAAACTGTTCATTGGTTCGTCAAATAAACTAAATGTTACTATGTTCTATTAAACGGTAGCAACATATTTATTTAAATAGTAATTAAAATTAAAAATTTGATGAACAACTATAACCGAAAGACGCGACCCTAGATATCATATATAGTAAAAATTGCAATCGTTTGTCAAATGTACCAAATGTTGCAACGGTTCGTCAAATAAACTAAAGATTGCAATGGTCTATAAAGCAAAACCAAAAGTTACAATAATTTGTTAAATAAACCAAATATTGCAACGGTTCAATTAAACGGTTACAATTTTATTTAAATACATTTTAGTAGTTAAAATTGAAATAATAGTTTATAAAAAGTTACACTGAAAGACGTGACTGTAGATAATTAAATGTTAAAACGGTTTATAAAATAAACCAAGAGTTGCATTTGTTCATTAAAATAAACTAAATGTTACAATAGTTCAAGCAAACGGTTGCAACCGTTTACGAAAAGTTACGATAAAAAAAAGCAACCATAGAAGACATTTATTCGGATCGCAACTTTGTAAAAAAATTCAGCCGTAAAATATATATGTTTAGTTATTAAAAAATTAAATGTTTTAAAAATTTATAAAATAAATCAAAAATTACAATTGTTCGTTAAATAAAGTAAATGTTGCAATAGTTCAACTAAACAATCGCAAATGTTTATGAGGTGTTAAGATAAAAAGATATAAACGTAGAAAATATATATTCAGATTATAACTTTATTAAAAAAAAAACCGTAAAATAAATATTTTAGTTAAAAAATAAAAATTTAAATCTATATAATATGAGACGTAACTTTAAATGAATAAATGCAACTATGAAGACAAAACCGTAAATTGAAAAGATACGACTGTAATTGAACAAATATAACTGTAAAAAAACCGTAAATATGTTAACGAAGAGATGCGATAAAAAGAGACAACCATAAAAAAAATAACCGTAAATATTTCAACGAAAAATGCGATAAAAAGACACAACCGAAAAAATAAACGTAAATATGTAATCGAAAGGCTGCGATAAAAAGACGCAACGGTTCAGAGGTGCAAAAGACATTTATTGAGATTGCTATTATATATAGATTATTATTATTATTTTTACGGCCCAATTTTTTTATTATTATTACTACTATTTTTGCCCTATAAAACTTGTAAATTGTTGACGTTTTTTATTTCGAAGCCCAAAAGTCTCGAAAGCTCTAGCCGGCAAGGAAACGATGGCGACAACCACCGATCGTGTCTCTCTTACGTTTTTCCCTCCGAGGTTTTCTTCTCCTCTTATCATTCTCTCTTCTTCATTTCCGATTTCGATGTATCGCTATTTTTGTTAAATCATCGTCTTCTTTTAGTTATTGTATATGAAAAGAATTGTAGCATGGTTCAACTTCAATATAATGTTTTTGTACACTCAAGTTGATATCAACATATTAAGGCCTTGAATGGTTCAATGGTATGCTCCATACTAAGACATGCATGCCAACATTTTAGTATGGAGACATACATACTTTAGTATGCACTAAACAACGGTATGCACTAAAGCATACAATAGTATGCACTAGAATTTATCACTTGAATGGTTAAAAGTGTACCATAGTATGCAAAAGTGTGTACAAAAACCAAAACAAATTTTAACAATTTTCTAATAATAATTAATAACATGTCTTTTTAATAAATACTACAAAATATTTTTTAAAATTATAAATCAAAATCTATTATTTTGATTTTCCCATAACATATCGGCAATACTTTCCCGAATATTTGCCATACATATTGTCTATATTGTCTCTCGACAATAATGGTTGATTCAAAGCTAAAAAAAAATCACTTTCTAAGATCTAAGAGAGTTCTCTCTTCTCTCTCTTTTTTTTTTTTTGGGAATAAATGATTGTTTTTGTGAATTTTTACAATTGTAAATGATCATATATATAAATATTTTTGATAAGTACAAAGAAACACAAGTTTAACCAATGAGAAGAAAGTAGTAGGATTCAACTAGTTAAAGAAGCACACTTTGGTCTCATTTTTACTATTGGTATGGAGTTGGTATGGAGCTTGTAAAGAGTAAACTGAAAAAATAATAGAATTGACACGGTATGGAGTTTTCTTTTAAGTGCACACTAGTATGGAGTTTCTTAGTCCGGAGTGTTGCATATTAATATGATTTGTTGAATGACAAATTTAGTACGAACTAGTCGGACTTTAGTCCGGTCCGCACCATACCTACCAACCATTCAAGGCCTAAGTTAAATCTTAAAAAGAATAAAAAAGGTTTTTTTTTTTTCTTTTTTCTCATCGGATTTTTCGATTAGCTATGTTAAATATGTTAAACCTTATAAACTAAAGCTTACAAGATCTCTCAATCTCTCAAGAACTCTCTTCTCAAAATTCAATGTTTGTCATAACTCAACAAACATATATATAGGGTTTAGATAACACCTAAACCGACTATGATTAGGTCTTTGATAACTTCTAAACCTAATTAAACTTTATCACAAAACTCTCATAACAAAACTGACATGTTTTGTTAACTTGGGCCTTAAGTTTCAACCAAGCTCAACCCAACATTCTCCTCTTTAAGCTTGAACTCAACCATCTTCAAGTCTTGAACACCAATGAAGTCTCACATTTCCTTGAACTTAATCCGACCAAGCGTCTTCGTCAAGATATCTGCCTTCTGCTCACTCCCCGGTACATGTTCCACTTCAGTGAGACCATTTTCAACACACTCTCGTATAAAATGGTAACGCCGGTGTATATGCTTGCTTCTACCATGGAATACCGGATTCTTAGTAAGCGCAATGGCTGATCGATTGTAAATTCGTATGACCACTCTTTCACACAAGTTTCCTGTAATCTCACTTAATATATCTTGAAGCCAAATCGCACTGCATATGTTCCTCCCATGAATTCAGCTTCACACGATGACATTGCGACGGTTTCTTGCTTCTGTGATCGCCAGGATATCGGGCTATCTCCAAGATAAAACACATACCCAGCTGTACTCCTTCCATCACCCGGATCAACATTGTGACTGTTATCACTATAGCCTACAATCTTCGGTATGCTTGTACACCGAAAAAAGATCATACCGAGAGTAGTGGTTCCCTTTAAGTACCTCAAACACTGCTTCATTGCTACTGCATGTGACTCTCTAGGACTTTGCATATACCTACTTAAGACTCCCACACAATATGATAAGTCAGGTCTAGTGTGAAGCAAGTACCTAAAACAACCAACATTTTTCTAGAAAATTGTAGCATCAACTTCCTTTTCATTCTCAAACTTTGACAGCTTTAAACCAACTTCCATCGGAGTATGAACCATGTTGCAATCTTTCATTCTAGCTTCTTCTAGTATCTTAAGAGCATATCGGGTCTGGTTTAGAGTTATTCCCTCTGTATCCTGAATTACTTCAATACCAAGGTAGTAAGATAATTTTCCGAGATCACTCATATCAAACCTATAAGACATCTCTGTTTTGAAATCATTAATGACATCCAAGTTGATTCCTGTGACAAAGAGATCATCAACGTATACAGTTATGACAAGAACATGCTCTTTAACCTCTCTTCGATAAACCGTTGGCTCCTTGGAACATTTTACAAACTGAAGTTCCAGAAGAATGTGATTTAGTTTGTTGTTCCATGCTCTTGGTGCCTGACTCAAACCATACAAGGCTTTGTTGAGTTTATACACTTTGTTTCTACTTCCCTCCTTTTCAAATCCCTCTAGTTGATAGACATTAACATTTTCCTTTAATTCTCTATGAAGAAATGTAACACCTTGGTTTCAGGAATATGGTGGTGCATGCAGAGAGGTTTAAAAGAATTGATTTGGCCACCCATGTCACCAAAGTGCAATTATATTTTCGGTCAACTGTCCTGAGAGAACTCCACAGTTAAGCGTGCTTGAGCTGGAGTAGTTTCAGGATGGGTGACCTTCTGGGAAGTGATTGTCGGAACTGTGTGAGTGAGGACAAATCACATGGAAAGATCATGTGGTGATTTGTAGGGTTGGTAGACAAGTCTTTAAAGCCTCCCGGACGTAGCGGACCGGCTGTCGGACAAGGGTGCACCCACGGGCCCGAGAGAGGACGTGGGGCCCACTGGTAGGGACGGTCGGGACGTTACAAGTGGTATCAGAGCCGAACCTAAACGAGTGTGGAGTCAAGAGGGCTCACACCGTAGGGGGTGACGGTCTTGGTGCTTAACGAGGACGTTGCGATCTATTAATGGGGGTGAATTGTAACACCATGGTTTCAGGAATATGGTGGTGCATGCAGAGAAGTTTAAAGAATTGATTTGGCCACCTATGTCACCAAAGTGCAATTATCTTTTTGGTCAACTGTCCTGAGAGAACTCCACAGTTAAGCGTGCTTGAGATGGAGTAGCTTCAGGATGGGTGACCTTCTGGGAAGTGATTGTCGGAACTGTGTGAGTGAGGACAAAACACATGGAAAGATCATGTGGTGATTTGTAGGGTCGGTAGACAAGTCTTTAAAGCCTCCCGGACGTAGCGGACCAGCCGTCGGACAGGGGTGGGCCCATGGGCCCGAGAGAGGCCGTGGGGCCCACTGGTAGGGACGGTCGGAGCGTTAAAAGAAAGGCTGTTTTTACGTCGAGATGGTGTATTTCCTAGCCATGTGATGCTGCAAGCTTAATGAGGAGCCTTATTGTTTCAATCCTTGCTACTGGAGCAAACACTTCTTCAAAATCTACCCCATCTTGTTGTACATACCCCTTGGCAACGAGTCGAGCTTTGTACTTGTTTATACTTCCATAAGAATTTCTTTTAAGTTTGAATACCCACTTTAGACCAATTGGTTTTACTCCAAGTAGTAAATAAACAAGATCCCATACCTTGAATTTCTCGATGGAGTTGATTTCTTCTTCATAAGCAAGTGTCCATTCCTTAGAAATTTTAGCTTCATGAAAGCTTTTTGGTTCATTGTTCAAGCAGAGTAGTAAAATTTCTCCTTCTTCCTCAGCAAGTAGAATATAGTCCTCAAGATACTTTGGTTTATTGATTTGTCTTTCTGTTCTTCGTAGGACCGGTGGAGAAGAGTTAGTTGATTCCACAACTTCATGTTTTTGCTCTTGTTCGTGAGTTGTTTCAGTTTCACCATCTTCTTCAGACTCATCAGAGCATTCTTTTTCTTTATCCTGCTCTGTTTCATTTTCAACTTCATTTTGCTCTGTTTCTCTAGATTCTTCTTGAAGACCATGATTCCCGGAGTCATTTATAGTGATATTAAAGCTCCCATCATCATCTTTTGTTGAGTCACTATGCTTCCAATCCCAGCCTTTTATTTCATCAAATACAGCATCCCGACTTACTGTCACTTTTTAAGAACACAATTCTTTAAAGAATTACTCTCTTTATTAATGCTTTAGAAAATTACTCAAAACTAAAGCTTACAAGATCTCTCAATCTCTCAAGAACTCTCTTCTCAAAACTCAATGTTTTCCACAACTCAACAAACATATATATAGGGTTTAGATAACTCCTAAACCGACTATGATTAGGTCTTTGATAACTCCTAAACCTAATTAAACTTTATCACAAAACTCTCATAACAAAACCGACAAGTTTTGTTAACTTGGGCCTTAAGTTTCAACCAATTACATTTGCCTAATTACATTTGATTTCACATGATTATGGGATTGCTTCTAGATGCAATTGAATACTTCCCATGGATTAACTTCAATGGACGGTTAAGACAGTATTATCTGATGATAGTGTTAGGGTTTAGTTGCACAAAGCTCCTTGTTGACCTTTTATTATTGTTTGTTATGCCTATAATCTTCTACACTTACCTTTTTTTTGGTAATAGTGTTTTATAATCTTTGTAGGTTTTTAGGATTCGCTTAAAATAATTCTATTATGCAGAAAAATAATTTAGAAGAAGACAATTTTTGATGCATGGACTTAAAAAGATTGTGAAAAAACACAAACTCGGATTCCATTAAAAGATTTTCCATAATATGTAGACCGGTTTGGATCTCGAAATGTTCCATATGTACTTTTAAATGTTGTTAAAGAAGAGCTTTCATCTCCATCATCGTTTGTATTTACAAATTTTGTAAAATCCACTTACCACCACACGAACTCGAAGTTGTTGGATAAGTTCCTTTCTCTATATCCCACGATGTATCATCTTGTTCATGGAACTGCAGTAACTTAAAACAAATCGTTAGAAGAAGTTTTAGTTAAACAGGTGAAGTGATTAGTGAATAAGAAGAAAAAGTGGGGAAACATTATTACTTCCTTATGCTGAGGAATTGAAGGAATGAAGTGGCTAATTCTGCGTTGTTAGGGCGATCACTTGAAAGCCTATGGTGATCTGATTCAAACGGTGGAGATAAGACGAAACGTTCCACTTTTGCATCACAGACCACACACTTATGATGGTCCTCCTCAAGGCTCTTCTCTCCTAGAGCAGATTGAGTAACCTGTTGTTTACAAGAGCTGCACCAAAGTTTGTGTTGGCATGGGAAGTTTGCCCATAGAAGCATGTTCTTGTTGCACCAGAAACACATGCCTTCCTTTAAACATTTCTCATAGCTCTGTCAAATATGTCCTTCACGTGAGAAACAGATATATGAAAAACATCAAAGAGTATGGAGTAGGGTTTGATTGCTTACTTGGTAAAAGTCGAACTCACGGAGAAAGTATACGGAAGTGCTGTTTCTGATCCTTGTAAGTGTCTCTAGAACCGGATGTTTTAGTTGACGTTGGTTGTTGTAAGATGCTGTAGTCAACGGAGGAGGAGGTTGAGGTTTTGGTTCTGGTGGTGCTTTGAAGGTTTTAGAGTCATGTGCTTCTTGCATGAATTTAAAACCTGGAGGAACTGATAAGGCTTTTGGTTTATCGGGAGATGCAACAGAGTCATTCTTACTGATAATGAGTGGCTCAGGAGGTCTTCCTTTGAGCTGAGAACACTTGGATTTGGTGGGTAACATCACCCAGTGTGTTGCAGCTCCAAATTTACCTATGGGGACGACTTTCATTTGACAGAGTTTTGGAAAGTATTTGATGAAGTCGATGAGTTTGGGGAAACCAAGAGAGGCATGATCGAGATCCATTCCAAAAACAGCACGGAAATCAGCTTTGAGAGATGACAGGGGATATCCAGCCCCTCTCCAGTTCGCTGATGTATCTTGGAGGTACCGCGGAAGCCAGATTACAAACTTTTTGAGCCATGGTGGAACCGAATCTCCGAGAAATCCAAGAGTTTCCTCATCATCTGCATTGGTTGGAACTGCTGCACTCTGTGACTGTGCAAGTTCTGTTTCTTTGCTGACTGTAGATTTCAAAGTTGTTTACGTAAGAAGAAAAGCACAATTCTTGCATGTTTTTGACCATATAGAAGAACAAATACTTACAGCAACTGATATTTGTTGGACTAAGGAGGAAACGTATATCTTGTGATTGTGTCAACTCTATTGGTCTCTGTTTTCTGCACATATATGACACATCAGATTAAGTCACAGAGGGATACATGTCAATGAGTTTGATAAAACAAATGGTTTGAGTATTGCCTCACCGTAGATTATGAATCTCTGTACTTGCACCACATCGAAGAAGCAGCTCAACGCACTCAAGATGGTTATTCTTCACTGCGAAGAATAGTGGCGTCTCTTTGATAACTGTCTTGACATTAACCAACTCAGGGTTGGCCGCTAGTAGAATCTGCAGGCTCAAATTCATTCCAAGTGTCATAATCTTGTTTCAGCTTAGGATGAGAAGCACAAAAACAAGCGAATTATACCTCAAGTGCAGATAAATTGCCATTTGCAGCAGCAAAGTGTACTGCAGATAAACCCAACTTGTTCCTTTGGTTAACTCGGGCACCATGTGCAATAAGTAGGCTCATGATTCTGGATACGCAAATGTACTATTCTCAAGTTGTGAAGTAATCATCATGCAACCTTATTATATATGATTAAGGTAATAGAGAGAAATCATGCCTGGTTTGCTGCTTATGTGGCACAGACGATCCCTTCAGGCTACATTGAAGAACAGTATTCCCTTCTGCATCTTTTTCGTTGACATCTAAGTTGGTGTTTATAAACAGCTCAAGAACAGCTTCATCTCCTGCCTACAAAAATTACATTACAACCTTCAATAATCCGCAATCACCACATGTGTAGTTCACATAATAATGCTAATGTAGTAACTAAGTCTCACTTGTACAATGGAGATAAGTGGTGAAGTTTGCTTATCCACAGATTCACTAAAAACTGCAGCACCAAAGAGCTGAAGAAGCTCAATCTCTCTAAGCAAAACCATTCTTTTCTCACTGCATACACTTTGCGTCAAGCTGTTACTACGCAACGCTTCTTGAATAACAGCCTCATAGATCGTTTCCCTTTTACGCTTTGGCACAGAATCATCATCATCCCGTAATGTTACAGTTGCCTCTCTGATCTTCTCACTTGCTACAATCAACAATGCAGTCAAAGAAACTATCTCACCAGCCTTGGCATACGCATAAGCCACAGCGTCCACTTCCTTTGTCTTCTCAGCAAGTAGTTTCACAACCGTCAAGTCCTATACACAAAAGAAATGACTCAACTTTACATGATAAAGCTTTGCAAAGTCTCTTACATTCCATTATTCAACATAGTTTCACAACCGTCAAGTCCTATATACCTAAGAAATGACTCAAATTTACATGACAAAGCTTTGCAAAGTCTCTTACATTCCATTAATCAACATAGTTTCACTACTTTCAAGTCCTAAATACACATAAAAGGCTCAACTACACATGACAAGCTTTGCAAATCTCTTGATTCCTTTCTACAGCTATCTAAATAGTTCCATAATTAAATATAGTTTCTCCAAGCAACCAAATAACGCGTTAAAAGGAATTAGTGTTTAACCTTGTCACCAAGCAAAACGATCAAGTCTCCAATCGAGTCAGTACTTGGATTCCATGTCACATCTACGCTGCAAAATTGACATAGAACCAAAAATAATCACTATACAGTATCATTAGCCAGAGTTTTCAACGCTTTTCCAAATATAGTAGAGTTAACACATGTCCAAGCTTTATTTCCCTAATTTATCAAAAGGTCAATGCAAATTCTACCTGCCATTAGAGAGAGATAGCTCCAGAGGAATCAAAGCGCGTTCATCTTTGCTTCTCATATCAGTACGAGCGCGTCGTTTCAGAAGCATCTCAACACACCGTGGCGCGTTATACTCAGCCGCCGTGTGCAACGGCGAGAGTCCTGTATCCGTACATACATCGTTGATATACGGAACCGATCCAACGTCGCCGTTGATGATTGACAAAGCACAGTTTATAGAATCGTAACAGCAACAAGAGGTAAGAAGCTTTATAGCTTCGATTCTCTCGGATTCTGCGTCTTCTCCGACTAAGATGCGTTTAGCGTGAGAAATAAACTCAGATTTGTTGTCTTTTAAAACGGAATCTAAAAACGCGTAGTTGTCTCTGATCTCTTCGTTGTCGACATCGGTGACGTAAGAATCAACCGGAGATACTTTTCCGGTGGGATAAAGAGAGTATGAGTCGAACATCTCAGTGAAATCGAAACTCATAGATTCCTGAAAATGAGTGAAAAAATCGAAGATTAAAGCTTAGTTTCAGAGAAATCTCAAGACGAAATTAGAAATTTCTAACGCTATGACGAATAATCTTAGAAAAAAATGCTTCAAAATCATCTTCGCTAAAGCTAAAACAAGGTTCGAAGTTTGAGATTATCGCACCAGTTCCATCTTCGAAACCCTAGGTTTCTGCTTTCGTCTTCGATTTCTAAACGAAAAACGACAAAATTCCTCCAGAAATCGAGAAATGGAGTGGAGAATCAAGTGAAACTAACGAGAAAACTTGTGAATCTGTTCAAGAGATTCCGATCGGAGAAAACGAAAACGAGAGCATTTTTCCGACGAACTGATTCTGATGACAGAGAAGAAAAAGGAAGAGAGAAACGGAGAGGGAAAATTGCTGCGTTTGTTGTTCCCATTTATAGCAGTGACGTGGATATAGCAGTAGTAGAGTAGTACCAAGAGCAGTCTATGAAATGACATTATTATCCTCCGTTTTTTACACAATGGGCCAATTGTTGTCTAAGAAAAGAAGGGTAAATATGGTAATACAGATTTGTTCATCTTTTTCTTCTGCAGAGTAAAGGCTTAATATTTCGTACTATTTCGTCTAGTATCATCATTGTAGGATAACCTCGTAAATAACAACAATTACTATTAATTACAAAAAAAAAAGTAGATGCATATAATAATAAATCCTTTGATTTTCAAACGCAAAATCAAGCGTTTGCGTTTCAGACATTTATTTTCAAGTTTTCAAAAATATTGATTACAACACCAACACACAGAGAACAAAACTTCATTAACTAACTATTTCAAGAGCCATCCATGTTCAACACCAGAGGGTTCCTCAAAAATGATTTCAACCCCGAGTTTAACCATATCGAAAAAAGAGAGTTTTCTTGTCAAACATATGAACTTGCTCTACATAATTCTGATACACCATTTAAGCGTAGACGTCTTGATCTGTTGCAAGCAAATCTGCATCACAGTTTGTGCTTGGAAAGTTTAAATGACTATCAATGGGGCTCTTGGATAAATCACTAAGTTTGGGAAAAATCCCATCATACAGAATAGTTTTGTGATCATAATCACAGTTACTCAACTAAGCAAAAGAGGAAACAAAAACACCCTTAGAAATTGCAGTAATAAGAATGCCATAAATCAAGCAGAGTCTTCTTACTCAAAGATGAAAAACTTAAAATCTACGAACAATATCAGTAAATAATAGCTTTTCCTTTTCCATTTTATTTTTTTTTACAAATGAACACCGCTGCATTCAAAATTCTCTGAAGCAATCTCAGATTTCAAACTCATAAACTCAAATTAGTTTTGACAGTGGCTCCTTTGGTCCAAACAAAACCAGGCACAAGTCATACATACATAAAATGAGTTAACTAAATGGTTTTTGTTTTAGCACTGGGCTAATCGTAGTATTCCCTAGAGGTCAAACAGAGGGATAGTAAAAGACCAGAACAGGTTGTCGCAATGCCAAATGAATCAGAACCTTTGCCTTTTGAAGCTTCAAAACCTTCTTAACAATCTTTTTCTCTTCCACCAAGGCGGCCCTGACAATCCTGCACAGAAAAGAAGTGCAAGATTAGTTGCTAATCTCTAAGAAACCAATTTTTTAAGAGATCTTTACAATACACTTACCTCTCCCTAACAGCTACTCCAGATAGAACACCACCATATGCACGATTCACTGTCCTCTCGTTCCTTGCCAACCTCGACCTTTTGTATTCAGCAGGTCTAAGATGCGGTCGAAAGTAAGTATAAGTAATCATGCGAATAATGCATGAAGGGAGCTTAGGGCGGCTTATTTTGAGATATATCTGCCTATTAGATTAATCACCCATGTAACCCCTGGTTATTCAATTAGAACCATAGACCAGATTCAAGTATTTCCACAAACAAAACAGAGAAACAGAGAAAGCTCTCTGGTGCTTAACTTAATTGCAGGCTATCAAGTTAATGTAAGAATTGGCAGAAAGAAATACCAAATCAAAATCTACTAAGACGAGTAACCATATGTAGACTTTGTTTTTCTATATCAATGGTAAAAAAGTATGAAACTTTTCACTATTGTACCAAGCTTAGACCAACTCTGAAACCAACAAGTTCTTGAATTCAACCCCTAAAGTGTCTACATCTTAGTTTTAAGTTGCAGATTTAGTATAAATGCCAAACAGGTTATCATCATTATAATCAAACCAATACTGAGATGTTCACAACACATAAAACACGAACCTTAGTTCCAAAAATTCATAAACGTTTTTTTTTCCAAATTGGTTGAGGTGAGAAAGCAGCTAACACACAACAACAAGGGACAAGAACCGAATTTGAAACAGATAATGTAAACCAGATTTAAAAATGTCTACCCCTTATGATACTTATCTTAAGAGCAGGCTATCAAGTCAAGGTAAGACATGGCTGCAATGGATATGAAGTCTAGTTTACTAAGAACGAGCCTAGATCAATGGCAAAAAAGCATGAAGCTTTTCACTATTTTTACCGAGCTAATACCAACACTTTAATCCCTAAAGCGTCTAGATTCCAAGTCTAGTTCCAGATTTTGTCTCAATGCTAAGTGAATCAGAGTATAGATAGCCAAAACTCAAACACACATAAACACGAAAGCTAACACCAACATTCACAAACTTTTATCCAAATATATTAAAGAAAACAGCTAACACACACACAACAAGAGACATGAACCAAATTTGAAACAGATAGTCAAATTAAACTCAAAACACGAACACTCACACCAAAACTCACAAACTATTTGAAAGACAAGTTACCACTCTTCAGAATCAGCAAATCATTCTTCCATGTGATCTCCAACGCCAGATCCTTTGACATCAACCGAGAAAGAGTACTCTTGGTCACAGCCCAAGTAAGAGTCGCACATAAAGTATAGTGTGTATGACTTCTCTCCTGCTTCACTCGGTACTGTGAAATCAAGTTTCACCTTAGCTTTCTGTTGCAATGAGACACGCTTGATTGCCAGCAACTGGTTCGTCTTGGTGTCGCCCACAACCAGCCACCATCCTTCTTCATTGGTCTTGGGATACCTGAGTGAATCCACGGGTCCCACTTCTGTCCTCCCCTCCATGTCTCTCTCAAGCACCACTTGCAATGTAACCTCTTTCCCTGGGGTCACCTCTTCACTGCCCACAACCTCATAAGTAAGGTCGATGTTTGGGAAGCGGTTGCAGAATCTGGCAATGTCTACAAGCTGGGCGTCTGGTATCTTGAGAAGCTCTTGGCGTTCTTTGTCTTCCATCTCCACAAGATCGACTACGGTTTCAATGTTTTTCCCCGGATTCTCTTGGCACCTCCTGGCCAAGTCCTTTGTGAGGTGGGGGAGCTGCAGAAGCATAGAGTGCCGCTCCCACATGCCTTGAGTCACCATCTGGCTTACTTCCATAGCTAACAGAGCAATATTCAGCCAGCCATTGCTCGAAATCACATCGACCATCGCTTGAAGAAGTCTGGTTGCAGATAGAAGGACATCACGCTGATCTATTGCCAAGTTCCCGTCGATGTTATGCCTTGAGAAATGCGCTTGAAGAAGCGTGTTTGCCTTCACATGAGGGTCTGTGCATTTTGGGTTTTCAAAAGAGAACCTCTGGTGATTGATCAGTCTCCGAACTGTGTCCTCTTCGCCAGGCCGTATAGGGATCATGTCATACTCTGAAGCTGATGTTAAGATCTCAAGAAGACCCTTCATCTTGGTTTCAGAAGACAACAGAGAACTGAAGCGCTCAATGGTGGTATAACTGATGTAATAATATGAAGCAATCATACCAAGGTTGAGAGGAGAGAGTTCCATCTCATCCTCTGTCGCAATGCATTTACTGGCTTCAAGATCAGACACAGTGTTCTCAACCAGCTCTGATAGGTGATCAGACAAATGCCTGTGGCTAACGCCTTGGAGATTGTAGTAGTTAGGGTTCTGGGGAAGCCTCCTGTACATAAAAGTCCATGTAAGATAATCCACAGCATCATGCTTGTTCTCTATAACCCCTGCAACCACTTCTGCGTTGAAATTATCATGCAAGAAATGCTGGAGATGACTTTCCACAGGGAAAGCTTCGTACAGAAACTTTTTGTAATACCCTTTTCGCGGTGCGTGACAAAAGATCACACACTTCCCGGCATTGTCAAGAAGCGGTCGGCTAGCAAGCCCCATCATCTGAAGCAGATCGGAGACAGGATAATCAGAATGTGAGTTTTCCCTCCCATCGTAATACTGTGTCCCCATTACCACCACCAAATGCGCAGTTAATGGAGTGCCCCAACACAATGAACTCCTCATCACACAAGCCTGAATCCGTCCAGCTTCAAAGAGCTGCGTCACAATCTCCTGATCCAGACTGCTTAAACCCTCATGCAAGTACCCAATTCCATGGCGCAGTGTCTCCTTCAGTGTTTCCTCGCAGATTTGGCTAACAAAAGGCTCCAGTTCTTCCAGTTTCCCTAACAGGAAATCAGGACTCTGCGGGTTATCCATGTGAGAATAAGACATCAGATCCACAGCAGTTAAGCAGACATGTTTACGGGTTGGGACGAAAACAATAGCCGGCTTCTTGTTCTTGGCGTGCTGGACTATGGTGGTGTAGGTTGGCTTTGTCATCGCCTGCATCCTGGCTTCAAAACTGGATACATCCACTCCCTGAATGTGGATCTCCAGTGGAACAGGACGGACTCCGGGAGGGAAGTTGAAAAGGCCGTGGGAACTGGCCCCAATCCACTCCCCAAGATCTTTCGCATTTGCAAGGGAAGTGGATAGCGCAACAATCCTGATCTTGTTATTGACCTGACTTGAAATATATCTCATTCTGGAGACGATTACCTCCAACACTTGACCACCTTGACCTCCAATTAGATGGAGTTCGTCGACGATGAAAAGACTAACCTGTTGGACGTATTTTCTCTGTTTCCACCTGCGGGAAAGAGCATCCCATTTCTCGGGAGTACTTATGATTATCTGACCTCTCTCAAGCAGCTTAAGATCCAACGCTGTCTCCCCAGTTAGCTCAACAACCCGTAAACCAAGAGCCTTCCCAAACTTCCTCTCCCAGATAGAAAACTGCTTCTTGGCAATAGCCTCAAGAGGTGCAATATAAACAACACGCATTGTAGCATCAGGTCCTTCTTGATGATTCCTCAAAATAGCAAACTCCGCACAAATAGTTTTCCCACTTCCCGTTGGAGCAGCAACCAACACATTGTCGTTTGTGTTATACAAAACAGTAAAGACCTGAGTCTGCACTGGATTGAAATGCTTGAAATCCTGATAGAGTCTCTCATAATTTGGATTCCTTAGCGCCGTCACTGGGAGGGGTTGCAAGTCCAGTAGCTCCGTTGGAGGTGGATACTTTTCTGGAAGAATAAGATGCCTGAAAGATACAGGCAACACAGTCTGCGAGCCAAGCCACTTGTCTGAAACCACTCTGACAAAATACTGAGCTGGCAGCGGTTCAAAGATTGGCACAGTGAAGTTCAAAGTGTGATCCTCATCGATATACTGCTTCTTCAAAAGAAAATACTCGTGATGAAGGATCTTTTCACCATCATTGTCTTCCACAATTATCCAAAATGGCTCAACATATTTATGAATTTTGTCGTCCCACAGGAAATCAGGTGTAACTGTGAGCTCCACCCGCAGAACAGTGCGAGTAATAGGCTGAACATGTGCAGAAAGAGTCAATTTTGGGAACTGGTGGATGAACTTGTGAAGCGGCCTGCCCATCTTAGGACTACGAATAAGCTCTCCTAGCTCCTGTGAGGATAGATCATAGTACCTCTCCCACACCAAATCCTGCTTCTCCAACTTCATCAAAATTTCATTGGGAATTCCATGAAACTGACGAAGGGGTGTCTGGACACTCCACATCCTCTTGCTAACCATTTTAGACAGGTTCAGAGCCTTCTCTGCCAGTTGAGCCCATCCCCGCTTCAATACAATTTCATAGAGAGCTCGCACAAGACGTCCAGCACTCTGAGTATATAAACCATGTCAGAAGTCAAAGAAAGACCCTCAAGCTTTAGCTGCGAAATATATGCCTGCAGCAATACATTTATCTTTGCACTGGGCTCCTCCAAAGTTTCCTTGATTGGAATCGGGACACGACCCAAAAGTTTTGCATGTTCCATCTTCTCATCTTGCCGAACAGTCACATACTTGAACTCCTCACTCAGAGAGAACAGACGATAAAGATCTATATCACCCATTGTTGGCTTCAAATGCTCATTGTACGTAGCTATGGTCCCATGGGTTATGTAATAGTAGCTAGCAATGCGTCCCAGATCTGTAACTTGGAAGTATCCACTTTTCCTGTCATACTTAACCACGTTGTTTTTGTCCAAGACAGTAGCAGCCGAATGTATCAAGTCAGCTCTTCTCTACTCCAACACTACATCTTTTGCAAGGGCACCAGGCGCTAAGCCATACAGCGTTGGATTACGAAGCATACGGATATATAAATATGTATAACCAAGTCAATGGCAAGCCTCTCTAGCATTCTGAACGGTTCCAAGCACAATTTCAGCATTAAGCTGATCAGCAAGTCTGGAAATAAACTGGCTTTCAATAGGTAGTTGCTCATTCACCAAAGAAAGATAATATTGCATCTCGCTGTAGCCAGTGATAATTATACCCTCCCCATGTTGATCATACTGAGGTCTTCCAGCACGACCAAGCATCTGCATAACAACTAGAGGACTCAGCTCCATCCACGCCCCTTTTTCAGGATTATACAACTGGGTTCCTTTTATAATAACGGTATGTGCAGGCAGATTCACACCCCAAGCGAGAGTTGTTGTGGAAACCAAGACTTGCACATGCCCTTTAGCAAAAAGACCCTCAACAATCTCACGATCACTTCTTGTTAACCCAGCATGATGAATTGCAAACCCGTAACGCAGAATTCCTTTCAGGTCATAATTCTTAACAAAGTCGAAGTGATTCAGAAGAACTTCACGACTTTCACTATCTTCCTTCAAGAATCTGCTCAGGGTATCGTTCGCCATTGCAGTGTCGCATAATGCTATTGCAGTTTTTGCTGTTTCCTCCCTCGAATGAACAAAAATAAGGACCTGGTGCTTTCCAGCACAAGCCAATACTTTCTGATAACATAGATCATTCATCAATTGGAACCTCTGCGACGGTTTCTTCACACTGATTCCAATATACTGCTGATAGAGAGACACGGGTCTGTAGCTGCTGTCAAATTTAAACAATCCTTTCTTAAGATCAACCTGCAAAAATAAGGCCACGTCTTCATAATTTGGCAGTGTAGCAGATAAACCCACCAGACGAATATTATCTTTCGTGGTTTCAATTTGCCTAAGAGTCCTAGCGACAATGCTTTCAAGCACAGGCCCTCGGTTATCATGAAGGAGGTGAATTCCATCGATTATAAGAAGTCTCACAAACTGAGTATAAGTTCGATCTCCAGACTTCCTAGTGATGATATCCCATTTCTCTGGTGTTGTAACAATTACCTGAGTCTCTTCAATTTCTCTCCCAGTTAGGGACTGATCCCCACTGAGTTCTCTCACAGTAACTCCATAATCCTTCAGACGATTAGACAAATTACCTACAACTTCAGCAACAAGGGCTTTCATGGGTGCAACATAGACGATTTTGTAATCTCCATGGTTATAAGTTCCATCTTCGTTCCTATTCAATTCAAGTTGCTGCAGTATGGTCAGCATAGCAACATTGGTTTTCCCAGCACCAGTTGGAGCACAAAGAAGAATGTTCTCTGTCTTAAAAAGTGCAGTCTCGTACACTTTGCTCTGAAGCCTGTTCAACTGTTGCATTCCCTTGAAAGCCGGTTGGGCCCAATCAGGCATTTCGGTAATCTTAACAAGCTTCTCATTTCTATCCACCTTTTTAGAAACCCATGGGACATGAACTTCATCATATCCCTTGCCATGAATTCTGTAAGACCCATGGGGAAGGTCACACTTCTTATTCGCCATCAGGTGAGCACCTTGGTCAAAAGCCAAGCTCTCCAGGTCAAGCAACTGACGCTGGCCCTTCACCCAGCCACTCTCTAAATCTCTGTCAGCAACATCTCCACCAGCTTCTTCCTTCAGACAACGAGCTTCTTCATGGATACTTTTTTTAAGGTTCTCCTCCCTCTCCTTTGCTGTAGCTCTAGTTGCCTGCAACTGCTCCACAATTGATGTCAACTCTGAAAAGCCCTCATCTCCTCCTCGATTCGGTTCCTCTGTTCCTGATCTTGTGCCCTAGCCAAACGAGAGCACCACACAACTTTAAGACGGTTCCGCAGCAGAAAATTAACAAGGCTAAATTTTTCAAAGTGAAGGTGCATAAGCAGCTTGTTCTCAACATCCCTATCATTACCTTGAGCGAGTATCTTAAGCAGGACATCAGAGAGTACCTTGCATTGTTGTGGATCAATCTGATGTTGATATGCTTGAGATATCCTTCTCTGGAGCCGGTATGCATCAATGTCTTGAAAATTGAGATTTGAGCCCTCATTTGCATCCTCGTCATATATCCCAGCACCAACCTGCATACATCCAGTTCTTGTAGGCTCTTGATCCTCCTTACAATCTTCCTCTTGAACAATGTCTTCTTGATCACTCTCTTCTTCATTATCCTCAAATTCAACAGCGACCCCCAAATCATCCTCATCATCCTCACCACCACCAGAAGAATCACCAGCCTCTTGAAAGTCGGTGATCAACTTCCCAAAGGAAACAAGCTGATCAAACTCACGATCTTCAATATAGTTCAACAACTTGTGGATCTCCATCTTTTTCTCAGGTTTTTCACTCTTGAGAACAGCCAAGATCTCATCTGCAGCACCAGTAACAATACTCAAAGGTTGCCCACCCAACAGATGCTGAATAAGACAAAGCATAGCCTCATAAGCAGCCCTAGTCTCATTACTCTTGGGCTGATAAACCGCAACATCCATATCATTAGTGAGAACGCTCTCTTCCCTAAGACGTCGCCTCTTACTCTGCCGAAGATTAACAGTATCATCTACAACATCACGTTCCTTCTTCTTCTTAGACTTTTTAAGTTTATCCTCCAACTCCTGAGGCTTTCCCTTATCAACACGGTCACCAAAAGACCTCGGATCAATTTTTCCCCATAGAGTTTCTGGTTCTCCTGTAGGATCATGTGTATTGGCTTTGTCCTCATACTGCTTGAAGCCTCCCAAGTTTGCCATCACAATATCCAAAAACCTAGAATCAAATCAAACAGAGAGAAATACACAATTTTAAATGAAGAGAAAGAAACCCTAATGGGAAGATTCAGATTTATCTTTTCTCACGTCGAGACAAATTGAGTGAAACTCCAATTAGATTTAGGAAAAATAGCTTTTTTCAATTTCCTTTTTTTCTCATATGAAAAAATATATATTTTCCTTTTTCTCTTTGGTGAAGGGGAAAAGTTGGAGGCCTAACCTTACCTGCTTGTACTCAATGCTATTTACCAACATGCAATGCGTCAAAATCATCTCCAATGTTAGCAAGATCCTCAAGAGCCAAACCCACCTGTTCCACATATCTGAAACTTGCTAATACCACCCTCAAAGGAACAACTCTTGAAAAACCTATCAATACTTATGACCATATTCATACATTTATCCTGAACTGTCTTTAAGAGATCTTTCTGCAAGTCCAGCTTATCGTCCACCTTCTGAAGCCGAGCCGGTGACACAGGTGCTTCTTAGCATTCTGACCAACAACAACAAGCAAAAACACTATACAATTAAGCTTCTATTTAAGGCCTGATACAAGTAGAAACACTTGATCCTATCAAAGAACCACTCACAGAAATAGCTTCTGAAACAGTATCAGTTCCACACCGCATTTTCGATGTTCCGCTTTGTTATGCAAATGACATCAGAAAATGAAATCTCCTACCACAGAAACAAACATTAGTTTAGAGAATCTATCCCATAACACTTAAGTATTAACTTTATAACTCTATAAGATACCTTGAACCACATGTAGTAGCCATATCCTAAAGCTCCCAATGCCGTGTCAGGACTATAAAAAACTGGCCGGAGACAAACCTCCCTGAGCTCAATTCATAACAGTTATCTTCTGCTACGAAATCGAATTGCCGAGCCTCCATTGCTAACCGTTGCATCTACAAAATTCTCACACATGATTGTTCCAAAAATTTGATCTTTTTTCAAATAATTCCAGACTATTCACACACACACACACACTTCAGTTCAAGATCCATAACACAAAATTTACCTGAGTAGTCATGGCATCAGAATCTTCAGCTCAGCCTTCAAATTTTGAGGAAAAAAGAAACCTTTTTCTTTACTACTCCCTTGTAATCCAAAATGATTCAAAGACAAGAAATAAGCAAAAAAGGTTTTTTTAAAAAAAATATTCAAAAACTCCATAATTGGGGAAAATGAAATGATTGAGAAACTCTAGATACCTGCTCCAGCTAAAATCAAAACCGTCGATAACCCAATTCCAGATTGCGTAGCCATTTTCGAGACCTCACAGGTAAAAAGAAATGTTTTCTTTATTGAATATTGTATATATATACGGTATACGGTATACATACTTGTATAGAGTTAGTTAGTTAGTTACAGCTTATACTGAGTATAAATACTCTTGTACATTGTTAATTATGAGATTAATGAGAATACAATTTTATTTTCGTCTTCATCTTAATATGGTATCAGAGCTAAATCTGCTCCTACTTTCCGCCATTGTTTCTCATTCTTCGAGCTTGAATCTTCAGCCATGAGCACTCTAGTTTCTCAGCTGATTATCGATTCCGTCTCGTTTTCTTCTCGGCGTTGTTCCGATATTGATTGATTTTCTTTCGCTTCTTCCTTTCTCTTTCATTCTTTTGATTTCATTCCTTTTCTTGATCTAGATTCGTCGTTCTTCTTCGATTTCAACAAACCGACGCTATCTTCCATCGTCGTTCTCAATTTCAACTTTTGAAATGGGATCGATTCATCATAATCAATCAGAAGCTTCCGATTCTACTCGTCAATCCATGGATCGATATGAGAATCCTTATTTTCTTCACACATCTGATCATGCTGGGCTTGTGCTTGTTTCTGATCGATTAGTTTCAGGATCTGACTTCCATTCTTGGCGTCGATCTGTGCGTATGGCTCTTAATGTCAGAAACAAGCTCGGCTTCATCGATGGTACAGTTCCTAAACCTCCTGATACTCATTGTGATGCTGGCTCTTGGTCGAGATGTAACGACATGGTAGCCACTTGGCTCATGAACTCTGTATCGAAAAAGATAGGTCAGAGTCTCTTATTCATGTCTACTGCTGAAATGATTTGGAAAAATCTTATGTCTAGGTTTAAGCAAGATGATGCTCCTAGAGTTTATGAAATAGAACAAAGATTGAGTTCTATTCAGCAGGGATCTATGGATGTTAGCACTTATTACACTGAGTTAGTCACATTGTGGGAGGAGTATAAGAACTATGTTGAATTGCCTCAGTGCACATGTGGGAAATGTGAGTGTAGTGCTGCTGCTTTATGGGAAAAGTTACAACAACGTAGTAGAGTAACTAAGTTTTTGATGGGATTAAATGAGGCGTATGAACCCACTAGGCGCCATATCTTGATGTTAAAACCAATTCCTACTATTGAGGAAGTATTCAACATGGTAACACAAGATGAGCGTCAGAAATCGATTAAGCCTTCTGCTAAATTAGAGAATGTGGTGTTTCAAGCTTCAGGACCAACTGAGAATGGATCAACTGGATATTATACTGGATCTAATGAGGTTACTTCAAATGGTTTTTACAGTGGACCAGTTGAAAATGCAGTGTATGCAGCTTTTAGGCCTCAACAAAAGCCTTTCTGTACTCATTGTGGTAGATCAGGACATACAGTCCAGAAATGTTATAAAGTTCATGGCTATCCACCGGGGCATAGATTGGCTCAGAAACCACCAAACTTTCAACAGCCACCAAGCTTTCAACCTCGTGGACAGTTTCAACAAGGACTACAACAAGGACTACGACCTCAGTTTTCTCAGTTTCCTCAGTTTCCTCAGTTCCCACAACAACAACAATCTTATTTTCAACCATCACAGAACATCAAGACTAATGCAATGGCAAATGCAGTTACTGGAAGTAGTAACGTAGGTCTTGATCTCAGCAGTATCAGTCAAGATCAACTTCAGTCTTTGATTCAACAACTCAATACTCAGGTTCGAGTTCAAGAGCAGTCGTCTCCTTTTTCAACTGGTGGTTCCATAACAGAGAATGGTGTCATGGCTGCAAACTCAACATCTGGTACTGTTTCAATTGATTTTCCCTCTTCTAATCTTCGTTATGAAAACCATACATTCACTTTCCAACATCATTGTTTATCCTCTCTTTACTCCATTCTACCCAATGGTAGTTGGATAATTGATTCTGGTGCTACTAGTCACGTATGCTCTGACTTTGCATTGTTTACTGAAATGTTTCCAGTATCAGGGGTTACAGTTTCCTTGCCTAATGGTACTAGAGAACCCATCACTCATACAGGAACAGTGCATTTATCTGAGCATCTCATTTTACATAATGTTTTGTACATTTCAACATTCAAATTTAACTTGCTTAGTGTGAGTTCTTTATTACATAATGAACATTGTTCTGCACATTTCTTTACTGATTCATGTTTCATTCAGGACCATATTCAGGCCTTGACGATTGGTAGAGGATTTCTTTTACATGGTCTTTACATTTACAAGATTGATGCTTCCTCTGTCAACAATGTCAGCTTCTGTGGATCCTTGACAGTGGATGGAAATCTCTGGCATCAACGCCTAGGACACCCATCAGCTGCCAAGTTACAACATCTTTCTGGTATTTTACCTTTGTCTACTAGTAGTATTTCACATTCACATTGTCAGATTTGTCCATTAGCTAAACAAAAGAGATTACCTTTTGTATCTCATAATAATCTAGCATCTTTACCATTTGATCTTGTTCATTTAGACATATGGGGTCCTTTTTCTGTTGAATCTATAGAAGGATACAAATATTTTCTGAGCATTGTTGATGATTGTACTCGTGTTACATGGATTTATATGCTTAAGAATAAAAGTGATGTTTCAATTGTTTTTCCCGCTTTCATTAAACATGTTGAAACTCAATTTCAGTCTAAGATCAAAGCAATCCGTAGTGACAATGCACCTGAACTAGCTTTTCCTCAAATCATACAAGATCATGGCATAATTCATCACTTTTCTTGTGCTTACACTCCACAACAAAACTCTGTTGTGGAACGCAAGCATCAACACTTGCTAAATGTTGCTAGAGCATTGCTTTTTCAATCAAATGTTCCATTAATATACTGGAGTGATTGCATACAAACTGCAGTATTTCTCATTAATAGAACACCATCTCTTCTTTTGAACAAATTATCTCCTTATGAAATTTTGTTTAAAAAGCAACCTGACTATGCATTTTTAAAATCTTTTGGTTGTTTGTGCTATGTGTCTACTCTGCAAAAGGATAGAAACAAGTTTTCTCCAAGAGCTTTACCTTGTGTTTTCCTAGGATATCCTCCTGGTTACAAAGGATATAAAGTTTTGAACATGGAGACAAATGTTATCTCTATATCTAGGAATGTGATTTTCCATGAAACAGTGTTTCCATATAGAACAAATGTAGTGCAAGTTCCAACTGATACTTTGTTTTGTAAATCTATTATGCCTGCATCAACACCTGCTGTGCTTGATTCTTTGATAAATGTTCCATCTGCATCTCCACATAATTCTGTCACTGAGCATGTAGACACTGTTCCTGTCATACCTCCATTGCATCCACCCACGTCTCTCTCTAGTGCCAGAACTGTGCCCTCGGAGACTGTTACCAATGATGCTGGACAGGTTTCAGTGACCAATGCTAGGCCAAAGCGACAGTCTAAGGTACCAAGTTACTTATCCAATTATCATTGCAATCTTGTTCAAATTTCTGATCCACTTACTCAAATTTCTAAACCAACTACTCAAATTTCTAAACCAATTACTCAAATTTCTGACCCTCTTTTTAATCCTTCTCCTGTTCTTTATCCAATTTCTGCATCCCTTTCTTATGCAAATCTTAAACCAGTCTATCAGTCTTTTGTTCTCTCTTGTTCAATTGAATCAGAACCTACAAATTTTAAGCAAGCCATGACAAATCCATTCTGGAACAAAGCCATGGATGTGGAGATTACTTCTATTGAGCAAAACAGAACTTGGAGCATTGAGACTCTTCCTCCGGGTAAGACTGCGATTGGTTGTAAATGGGTTTTTACAATAAAGTATAATCCTGATGGTTCTATTGAACGTTATAAAGCACGGTTGGTTGCTAAGGGTTATACTCAACAGGAAGGAATAGACTATATAGAAACTTTTTCTCCTGTTGCTAAACTCACTAGTGTGAAGATGATCTTAGGATTAGCTTCTGCTCATGGATGGACATTAACGCAAATGGATGTTACAAATGCGTTTCTTCATGGTGAGTTAGATGAAGAGATATTCATGGAATTACCACAGGGATATACACCACCGGATAATGCTTCTTTGCCTCCTAATCCTGTTTGTCGGCTTCACAAATCATTATATGGATTGAAACAGGCCTCGAGACAGTGGTACAACTGTTTTTCAAGAGTGGTTCTTCAAGCAGGCTTCTCTCAGTCACCTGCTGATAACACACTTTTTGTTAGACAGAGTGGTTCTTCCTTTATAGCATTGTTGGTTTATGTCGATGACATAATGATAGCTTCTAACAATGATATAGAGTTGCAGAGACTCAAAGATGCTCTTCATCAAGCTTTCAAAATCAAGGATATGGGTCCTCCAAAATTCTTTCTCGGAATTGAGATTGCAAGGAACTCCACAGGTATTTCTTTGTGTCAACGCAAATATTGCTTGGATATACTTGCTGACACAGGAATGCTAGCTTCTCAGCCGTGTTCAGTTCCTATGGATCCTACTCAGAAGATTACTAAAACTGCTGGTGTTCTTCTGGATAATCCATCTACATATAGAGAACTGATTGGTCGTCTTCTCTACCTCACTATTACTAGACCTGATATCACCTATGCAGTCAACACATTGAGCCAGTTCTTATCTTGTCCAACAAGTGTTCATCTACAGGCTGCTTATCGTGTTCTACGCTACTTAAAATCAAATCCGGGTCAAGGTCTTTTCTATGCTGCTAACACTGAAATATGTCTTAATGCCTTTGCTGATGCTGACTGGGGAACTTGTCTTGACACTCGCCGATCTATCACTGGTTTCTGTGTATATTTGGGAACTTCTTTGATCTCCTGGAAGTGCAAGAAACAACAAACGGTTAGTCGGAGTAGTACTGAAGCAGAGTATCGAAGCATGGCTTTGGCGACTTGTGAATTGCTTTGGTTACATCAGCTTCTTACTGATCTCAAGATAAAGGTCACATCTCCTGCCAAACTCTTTTGTGACAATCAATCTGCAATACACATTGCTTCAAAT